CCCAGTATCGCACGTGGGACGCGTGGTGCGCATGTCTGCGCGCTCGATTTGAGCCAATCGCGGCCTCGATCTCGGCGCGACAGAAGCTCCGCACTTGGCGCCAACTCGGTTCCGTCCAGGATTACACGAGCGGATTTCTGGCGCTATGCGAGCAGGTGGGCTACATGCATGAGAGCGAACGCATCGACCGCTACATCGGCGGCCTGAAGCAGGACATCGCTCAGGAAATCCAGCTTCGCGGCGTCACTGAGTTTCAGGAAATTCTCGCTATGGCGGAGAAGCTCGACTTCTTTCGCCGACCGAGACCGGGGTCCTACGGAAACAACACCTGGGGACATCGGCCTCGTGGGACGAACGAGAGCGCCACGATACGCGCCGTCGCTGCAAATGCCGCTGCCGCACCGTTCAAAGGGCGCTGCTTTGCGTGCAATCGGCCGGGACATCGCAAGAGCGAATGCCCGGAAAACGCTAAGGGAAAGGGGGAAGCTGAGCAGCAGACACAGACCAAGCAGCAGGGAAACGCTGGAAGTCAGTAGCAGACGGGCCCTCTACTGACAGGTCACGCCGCTCGCCCGACCCAACCGACCCTCACCGAGTGATTGTGCCGGTTCACGCAATCGACCACACCCGGCCGAATAAGGAGGGTACCACGGTAGATAGCCCTATACTGCTCAGTGGGAAAATTGGGACGGACTTAGTTAAAATCTTCGTAGACGGGGGAGCCAGCCACAGCCTCATTAACACCGCTACAGCACGAAAACTGCGACTGCCACTGGACCGATGCTTACCTGAGATCGACGCACGACTGGTAGACGGCACGCCGCTGGCAATACGGGAACGCGTAGACCGAGTTCGGATTCGATGCGGGGGTAACTTCACGTTTAGTCAGGAAATGCTCGCAACGACCCTCGGCGGAACCGACATTTTACTCGGGCGTGATTGGCTGCGACGACACAATCCGCGAATTGACTGGACGACGGGTGACTGCACCGTGCGAGTAAACGGTAACAACATCGCCTTACCTCGCTGGGGCTCGCCTGAGTCTTCGTCGGTGCGTGTCAACGCGATCACGATGAAACGCGCTGTTGCGGCCGGAGCCGACGTGTACGCGGTTGACATTCGGGAAGCCGAGGCAGCAGACAAGGGGGGCGATTTACAGAAACTGCTGACCGACGTACCGAGTGACCTGGCGGCACTGTTAAAACAGTACAGTGACATTTTCCCGGATGACTTACCGACGGGACTGCCACCTCAGCGACCGCACGATCACAGGATAGAACTGGAACCGGGGGCACAGCCAACAGTACAGCGACAGTTCAGACTGACCCAACCCGAACTAGACGAACTAAGGAAGCAGCTCGATTACCTGCTCGAAAAAAAATTCATTCGCCCTAGCTCGTCGCCCTTCGCCGCACCAATACTGTTCACACCGAAAAAAGACGGGGGTTTTCGCATGTGTATCGACTACCGGGCACTGAACAGGGTTACCATCAAATCCCGTTACCCCATCCCACGAGCCGACGAACTGATCGACCAACTGCGCACAGCCCGGGTTTTCTCGAAAATTGACCTCCGGGGAGGCTACCACCAAATCCGCGTCAACCCACCCGACTGCCCTAAAACCGCATTCCGAACACGCTACGGATCCTTCGAATACACCGTCATGCCATTCGGACTGACCAACGCCCCCGCCACTTTCCAAATGACCATGAACGACGCATTCCGCCCACTTTTAGATAAGTGCGTCATCGTTTATCTGGACGACATACTGATTTACAGCCCTGACAGAGCACAGCACTTACAAGACATCGAAGCAGTTTTTAAAATCCTGAGTGAGAACCGCCTACTGACCAAAGCATCTAAGTGTGAGTTTTTACAGGACCGCCTGGAGTTTTTGGGACATGTTATTTCAGCTGCAGGAGTGGAAATAGACCCGAAGAAAATTGCGACAATTCAGGCTTGGCACGCGCCGACCAACTTGACCGAGTTGCAGAGTTTCCTGGGGTTCGTCAACTACGTGCGCCGGTTCGTCCCCGACATGGCGAAGCTGACTGCCCCGTTGACCGACCTGCTGAGGAAGGGGGTTGAGTACACGTGGGGGGAGAAAGAGCAAGCTGCCTTCTCGGCCCTCAAAAATATTTTGTGCTCCCCGCCCGTCCTTCACATTGCAGATCCCCACCGTCCGTTCGAGCTCGTCACCGACGCAAGTGACATCGCTGTGGGAGCAGTACTGTTGCAGGACTTCGGGAACGGCCTCCAGCCAATCGCGTACGAGTCCCGCAAACTACACCCGCCCGAACGTAACTACCCGATACACGACCGCGAGATGCTAGCGATCGTGCACGCGTTCAAAGTTTGGCGATGTTACCTGACGGGCGCCGACGTGACAGTACGGACAGACCACCGCTCGCTACAGTACCTTCGCGCCCAACCGAATCTCAACCCACGACAGATTCGCTGGCTGGACTATCTCGAGTCCAATTTTCACTACACCGTTACGTACAAAAAGGTGCATCCAACATCGCCGACGCTCTCACCCGCCCCACCGCCCAACTCCACGCCATCCTACTCGCCCAGACCAACCCGCTTTTAACTGGCCTATTCACCCACGGATACCGCACCGACCCATTCTTCACGACCGGAAATTCACAGCAACTGGCAGAAGCAAAAGGAGTCTATTACGTAAAAACAGGCACCAACCGCATTTGGGTACCCGCGTACTCACTACTGAGGGAGCTGCTACTGCAGGAGGCACACGTCGGGATTACCTCGGGGCATTTCGGGGTAGAAAAAACGCGACAGCAACTGCAGCGGTATTATTATTGGCCGGAGCTGTTGACCGACGTACAGCAGCACGTGGGCTCGTGCCCGACGTGTCAGGTGATGAAGAGTTCAAGGAAGCGGAAGGCGGGTCAATTGCAGCCGATCCCACCGCCCGAACGCGCCTGGCAGCAAGTAACCATGCACTTCGTCACAGGGTTACCTTCGAACCCTGGGGGTAACGACGCGGTGATGGTCGTCGTGGATAGGCTGACGAAGATGGCACACTTCGCTGCGTGCAAAAAGTCGATCTCAGCCGAGGAGACCGCTCGCCTGTTCATCGCAGCCGTTGTTCGCCTGCACGGGATACCAGCAGCAATTATCAGCGATAGGGACACGAAGTTTACCAGCAACTTCTGGAAGAACCTCTGGGAGCAGTTCGGGACCAGGCTACAGTTCAGTTCGTCGTACCACCCCGAGACCGACGGCCAAACGGAACGGACGAATCAGACGATGGAGCAGTTGATTCGTGCCACGTGTGACGACCCCACGACCTGGGAGCAGCAGCTGCCGCTGATCGAGTTCGCGTACAACAACGCCACATCAGCCACGACGCAGCAGTCCCCGTTCTACCTGAACTATGGGCACAACCCCACAGTGCCCATGACGCCGAGTCCGGACAACCCAACGCCACGTGCACAACAATTCGCCGAAATCCTGCAAGCTGCCCGCGCCAGAGCCGCCGAAGCAATAAAAAAAGCCAACGTCATCGCTAAGCGCAACGCTGATCGCCACCGCCGTCCTGTCACGTACCAATCTGGAGATTACGTGCTGCTCGACACGCAAAATCTGCGACTGCCCGACGTACCAAAATTACGACCGCGCTACTGTGGACCATTCCAAATCAGTCACATGATCACACCCGTCACCGCGCACCTACTGTTGCCAACCGACTGGTACATCAGCCCTTCGTTCCACGTCAGCCTACTTCGCCCATACATCCCGACCACAAGTCAACTGCCGCGTCACCGGCCACAATCAATGACTCGCCCTGCATCAGAGCCGATCATCGAGCCCGAAAAAATTCTGAGCCATCGGATCCGCCACCCCACGGGAATCAGGAGGATTGAATTCCTCGTTCGCTGGAAAGACCGCACGCCAACTGAAGATAGCTGGGTGCCCCTGAGCAACATCGAAAACCACCCTGCCCTGCAAGTGTACCTGAGGAGCCGGGGATTCCGCGATATACACGCACTCGCGTAGCGGAGGGGGCTTCTTAAAGGGGGGGGTAGTGTAAGGAATTTTCTCGGCATTCCTTACGGAGCCGACTACATCGCGTACAGCAACAGCCGATTGTTCGCCCGTTACTGCTAACGGAACTTCGCCGACTTCGCGCGCACTGTTTTGCCAAACCTCGCACTGCTGGCATGGCCGTATCGGCCTACGCTTCGGGACTAGTCCGAGCCTCGCTCCAGCGTAGCACTAGCAAGCTCGCACGCACCGCGTTACCGTTTTGCATGTTTCGCGTATAAATGTTCGCTCATGCCTTCGCTCACATTTTGTACTCGTTTGACACCTTAGTGCAATTCTCGCTACCTCGATTCATTGCACCCGTAACAGTACGGTAAGAGTGAGATTGATTCGCGAATGATGATCGGTATCAGGTGACGTGGTTACCTCACCCCGCCCGTAGGTTCGGGTCACAGGCGATGCGCGATGGTGCGAAGGGTGAAGCACGGGCAACGCCCCAGAGAACAGTGAAACGCACAGAGCTGTACGCGGTACTGAGAATGGTGAAGTTTGGAAGTGACACATATTTTTATACCTTCATCTGGTCACGGTCCATCTGACAACAGAGATATCTCTGTCAAAACTGAATCCCCAACGTAGCATTTCACGGAAGAGGATTACAGATATACGCCGATGATTAGTCAGGTCTAATAGTACTATGTCCAACACAAGGCGTTTTTTTATCAGAGAGAGTATGGCACGCAAGCAAAACACACAATACAGAAACGAACCCACGTCCCTGACAGGGGCACTATCCCAGTGCCGCTCACACCTTATTGGTAACAAACAGGGCAAATCACCTCCGTATATACTGTACTAGCATGCCACTTGGATGCAACGTACTATAGAATATACTTGTATCATGCTGCCAGCCCAACGCAGCACAGAATGTCCGGGGAGGAAGTGACTGTCCTCAAACTGAGACTAAGCGTTCACAGATCAAGCGTGCCTTAGACTAAGCGTTGGCGCTTAGCCAAGTGCAGATGCTCCTCCTCATAGCTGTGGGAGTCCCACTGGTGCAAACCGTCCATATACTCATGCGAAATCCATGCTGGCACTCCCATGCACAGATCCGCCACGTCAGCATGCCACATGGGCGCCAGGTCACCGTCTCCTGTAGCAACCACTTGACTGTTCGCACTGGGGCAATCGTTGGGCCCGTTATTTCCCACCGCTGCAACTCCACTGCTGTTTTCAACTGGGTCTGCGACTTCCGAATCCGGAGCACCTGAAGAACCACCTGAAGCCGGCTCCCAGGGTGCAAGCAGGGACTGCCAGTCAATATCCTGTGCGGCTAGCTCCTCCAGGGACTCCCCCTCCTCCGCGCATTTCCCCCCTCCGGTCTGGGCCGCGCCCCGCAAGTCATGGGTGGCGGAGAGAAGCAAACCCGCGCAGCCCTCCATCCCCCCATCTCCAGACAGCTTCCCCTTCGCATCCGCCACGTCTTGCGGAATCAACTGAGGTTTCACCTGATCGCACTCGTCAAGGTCGCCTGCCAGGAAGGCGAGCGGACAGAAGGCGTCTTCCGGCGAGTCGTTGCCTCCGCGCGCGGAATGCGCCTCAGGAAGAGACAAGGGCTGCGCGCGCGCGTGCACTGGCGCATGCGCCGGCACATGCGCGGGCGCATTGCCAGCCTGTGCGACTGGCGGAGGCGGGGCGACCAGGCTGCACTGCGATCCGCCGAACGGGGATGGGGCTGAGGCGGAGCAGGACGTTCGGGGGAAGGACGGTCGGGCCAGGAACGGCGCGGGCGCTTCCGCCGGCGCCTGCACCACCGCCGGCGCAGGTGGCGTGGATGCGGGCGCGCGGGGAAGCTGTTGCGCCTTCCGCCATTGCCCGACCAGCTGCTCCGCGAGCCTACTGGCCGGGGACGCGGAAAAAGGCGGGGGAGGCGCAATGGAGGCGGATGCGGAAGATCCAAGTTGGAAACCGGCAGACATATCAGTTAACGGTTTATTGCTTGATACCCGAGCCGCAGCCGCATTGCCGCTTGCCGCCCCACCAGCCGCAAGAGCCGGCGCAAGAACATTCGTCAACCAATCATTGAGCGCCGTCTCCACCTCCGCCGCGGATGGCGACGCGGCGGCAGCAGCTGCAGGGGGGGAAGCGGGTCTTTTGGCGCGCCGAGAGAGAGCTGCTTTGCGCGAAGAGGAGAGGTGGACGGCGGGGACATCCGCTGCGCCATTCGCGGCATTCGGCGGAAGAAGCAAAGGCGACACCGCCGTGAAGGACGGCGGCGCTCCGCTGGCTCCCCGCGGGGTCTCGACCGCCGCGCCCACCCACGAAGCGCTCCGCGGACTCGCGGCTTCCGCCGCCGCCCCCCCACGCCCGCTATAGGAGCAACTACCCGTCGAAGGACTGGCTAGTGGCGGAACTTGCATCGGTGCTGCATGTCTGCCGCGGCGTGAGCTTGCGCGGCGGGCGGGGGAGGGGGCCTGCGCGGAGAGCTGCGCGGATGGTTGCGCAGAAAGCGAGACGGAGAGCTTTTTCGCCGCAGCGAAAGGCTTGCATCCGTTGGCAACCGTTACGGCGCTGTCTCCCTCCGACGTGGACGACGAGGGGGTGGCGGGAGAGAGCGCCCACGGCGCGGGGCACGCGGGGAGAGAGTTGGCGGGAAGCCCGCCGCCGGCAGAAAGCCCGCTGCTTTCCGCCGCCGCGCAGTCGGGGCTCCACTGGTGATGCGCGGATGAGCGGATCTTGGCCGCCTGGCGCAACGCTTTGGCCCAATCTAGCGCCATGTGATTCGGAATGCCAATTGACGGAAGGCCGCTGCGACACCGACTCGGTAGCTGGCACACCGCTGCACTGACGGTGTTCGAAGAAAAATGGCTGGGCTGTGATGCAGAGTGGCTAGACGATCATTGGCAGCAATGTTTGCTGTGCCTCAATGGCGGATCCAAGTCGTTCAGATAGAAGGTTGCGAGATTAGCTGATCGCAACACCGCCGCTCCACCATGTAGCCAGGAGGAGTGGACAGGGGAACGGAGAAGCCCGACAATCGCGAGAATCGAGATGTGGTCGATGAGTGGAGTGGGGTCAGGTAGTGCGTGGCCTAAGCTGAATGGCAAGGCAGGGCAGACCGAACAAGAGCTTGCAGCCAAGCTCGGGAGGAAGGGAGAGAAGGTGGTGTAAGCTCGGATTGGTGGGAGGGGGCAAGGCAAGAGAGCAAGAGGGAGTGTGAGGGAGCGGAAATGCATGGGTGGCGGGTAGGGGCAAGGGGCTACTGTGGTCAAAACTGGCTGCCCTGGGAATTTGGTTCGCTGGATCTGGTTGGTCCGCGCTGGCAAGTAGCCCCCGTCGCCGACGGGCAACCAGCCCAACTTCCGCTTTCCGCCAGTCGCGGATGCGCCTCCTTTTGGAGGATTTCCCCGCCCCCAGGTTGAGCTAACACAAACGCGGTTCGTCGGAGCTGGGGAATTTTCAGGGGTTTCCCCAGAGGAGCTCTCTTGCGGGGAGAGCGCTAGATGACGGTAGTGCTGGAAACGACAAAGCGGCAAACCCTTCTCAGCCCTGGGTTTTGGCGCTCGCGACTGCGCGGAGACCTGGTTTGGTTTTGGTTCGGGCAGGGCATGGCGGACACTGCAATGCTCTCACGGATGCCTCGATTCTTGAAGCGGAAGAACCCGCCTTCCTCCAATGGACGTCGATCATGATATCGAACTTGACGTCAACCTTGTGCTGGCAGAGGATCTCGGGCAGGAAACATCGTGTACATAACTTGTATTCTAAAATATACAGTGGCTGAGTTGGGCCTGGGAGTGGCAGAGCTGGAAACAGTGAATTATATCTGTTCAACGCTGCATATTTTAACTCACTGCCTCGTTATTCTGAGCACTATTCCGTCCCAGCAGGGTGCTTTATGAGTAGAACCAGAACCTTCTGGGTGGACCTGCGCACAGGCCTGATTAAATAAAAGTTTCAGAATCTGAATGGAACAAGGGAGGCAGGTGCCGGACAGTATGCGGAGCTGCTACTCGGCCAAAATTCTTGGACGATCGGAAATGGCTATGGTGGAGAGGGGCAAGAGTCAGGACCATGCCGAGAACTGTGGAGCGCAAAGAATTCAAGCGGGCAACCAGATGCCTAGGGCCTTGGAAAAGTAGCCCATTGGCGGATGAATTCTGCTCTTGAAACCTTGATCTACGGACACGATGGCGTGTTTGCTAGGAGAGAAGCATTACGTGGCACAGGATGCAGTCAAACCGAGGCTGAACAGTTGCTTCGATAAAGGACATGCTGATGTGGCGCACGCTGGTTCCGCGTTAACTTTCGGGCAGCAAGGGTATACTGGATTTTTCTTCCCTCGATTCCCGTAGAGGGCAACAAGATCCCCGAGTGCAATGCGGCAACGCGGATCCTTCGTGAAGCACTGTAGACCACCTAAGCATGTTCTGCCCTGTCCAGAAAACTGGCATTTATGATTTCGCATGCGTTACGCAAAACAGTTGCGGGCCTGCGGGACTAGCTCAGGCTCCCTGTCAGGGATCTCCTCAGGTGAAGCAGTAAAAGGACCCGCAATGTAAAAATCAGCGGTGCACAATCATTTGCAGGGATGGTGCTTGCGTGGCGGCACCAGCGAGAAACTACCACCCCACTTGCACACCACGAACCAGCACAAACAACCACAACTGGAAGTGAAGTAACGACTTGTACACTTTAACCGAACATCGATGGCTACACCAGCTACAAGTCTATCTACTGCTCTAAGAAATTGCATGAAGGTATCTTAGCATCCTTGTCCACACCACCATGCATGGAGTTTCCTTGCGCTCATACGTCCAATTAAATCCACAAAATACACGGGAGGCTTGGAAAATATAGAAATACATGCAAAAGCGAATGATTCACAACCTAAAACTCATCATCCATGTAATCATCCACTTGACTACCCAACAGCTCAGAGGAATAAAGCTTCACCACTGGCATGCGAGCCGTCCTCATCCAATCAAAGTCCTTCACCAAAAGCAACCCAAACGCAAGCAGCAGCATCAGCAGCACCAATCCTGGTCCATACGTAAGCAGCGCCGTTCTTTTCACGGGGGTAAATGCCCCTAGGAGCTCCGATTCCTCTTCATCCCCTCCCATTCCATCCCCTTCAACACCATCACCATTATCACGCCCCTCTTCATTGTCACTTTGGCTACTGACACTGTCGGCAGAAGCACCTGTATCCCCAGACAGAGCGGCTGCTGCCTTCCGCGCTGCCCGCTGCACAGCTCTGCTCGTTGCCTGCGACAACACCGGTGGGTTACCACCACCACTTGCAGCACCACTACCAGCAGCACCAGTTGCCACAGAGTCACCAGTAACAGCAGCAGCAGCAGCATCAGCAGAGGGGTGGGGGTCGTGAGCCGTCAGACTGCCTGGCTTGCGGTCGAACCATCCGCCCAGCTCTCTGCGCTGCCGACCCTCCGCCTCCTGTAAGGGGGAGGGGTAAGCAGGAAGGAGGTTGGGCGGAGGGGGAAGGTGCTGTGAGGGATGCACTCGTAGCACCAGCAGCACCAGCAGCAGCAGCACTAGCAGGCGAGGGGTCGTGAGCTGTCAGACTGCCCGGCTTGCAATCAAACCACCCGCCCAGCTCTCTGCGCTGCCAAGACTCTGCCTCCTGAAGGTGTAGGGAGGAGGGGCAGGGACGACGGGAAGCGGGGTAGGGAGGGGGGATTGGTCATGAGCTGTCAGACTGCCCGGCTTGCAATCAAATCACCCGCCCAGCTCTCTGCGCTGCCGGGACCCTGCCTCCTGCAGCCCAAGAGAGGGAGGGCAGGGACGAGGGAGGCGGGATGGGGTAGTCACGAGAGGAATGGAAAAGGAGCGGAAGGAAGGGCGGTGATGTGAGCACCAGGGTTAGACAGGAATGGGGCCTCCATGGCTGCCGTGAACGCACTTGTTGGTCGAACCTCTCACCTCTTCCAAGCCTCGCACCTCTTCCAAGCCTCGCACCTCTTCCAAGCCTCTCACCTCTTCCAAGCCTCTCACCTCTTCCAAGCCTCTCACCTCTTCCGAGCCTCTCACCTCTTCCGAGCCTCTCACCTCTTCCGAGCCTCTCACCTCTTCTGAGCCTCTCACCTCTTCCGAGACTCTCACCTCTTCCGAGCCTCTCACATCTTCCGAGCCTCTCTCCTCTTCCGAGCCTCTCAGTGAAGCCGAGCCTCTCGCCTCTCAGCTGAGCTTTCAACCTTTGCCAAGCCTCTCGCATTCCAAGCATCGCATTTCAGTCAAGCCTCTAAAATCAGCTGGTTCTCACCTCTGCCGAACCTCTCACCTCTGCCGAGCCTCTCACCTCTGTCGAACCTCTCACCTCTGTCGAACCTCTCACCTCTTCCATCTTCTTGAGCTTGGCGAGAGCAGCAGTGGCATCTGCCTGTGTGGATGGGTCTGCCTTAACCATCTGTAGCACAGCACAGCACAGCACAGCACATGGCAGATATACCATGAAGTCGATAAAACAGGAAAACAATATTGTGTAACAAGAAAAGCAGAAATATGAAATTATCAGAATAGAGACCACTAAAGGTAAACTTTGACATGCCTCAGAACAGAAAGCTGCTGTTTTCGGTAATGAGGAGGTTCCTCGGAGACAAGTTACAGAACACTGCATACTCGTTTCAAGCCCTTATTGCGGCGGACACCTCATACCCGTTGGAGGTCGGCCCTGGCTTCATCAAAGGCAGCGGAGTGGATGCGAGCTAATGCTCTCCGGTAGAGTGCTTTTGAGTGGTTGGGCTGCTCCGTGAGCACCTGGGAGTGTAAGCATGAGGGTAGAGCAAAGAGGGCAAGGCAAGTGAAGAGGTCAGGCCTGAGGGGCAGCGGAGTGGATGCGAGCTAATGCTCTCCGGTAGAGTGCTTTTGAGTGGTTGGGCTGCTCCGTGAGCACCTGGGAGTGTAAGCATGAGGGTAGAGCAAAGAGGGCAAGGCAAGTGAAGAGGTCAGGCCTGAGGGGCAGCGGAGTGGATGCGAGCTAATGCTCTCCGGTAGAGTGCTTTTGAGTGGTTGGACTGCTCCGTGAGCACCTGGGAGTGTAAGCATGAGGGTAGAGCAAAGAGGGCAAGGCAAGTGAAGAGGTCAGGCCTGAGGGGCAGCGGAGTGGATGCGAGCTAATGCTCTCCGGTAGAGTGCTTTTGAGTGGTTGGGCTGCTCCGTGAGCACCTGGGAGTGTAAGCATGAGGGTAGAGCAAAGAGGGCAAGGCAAGTGAAGAGGTCAGGCCTGAGGGGCAGCGGAGTGGATGCGAGCTAATGCTCTCCGGTGGAGTGCTTTTGAGTGGTTGGGCTGCTCCGTGAGCACCTGGGAGTGTAAGCATGAGGGTAGAGCAAAGAGGGCAAGGCAAGTGAAGAGGTCAGGCCTGAGGGGCAGCGGAGTGGATGCGAGCTAATGCTCTCCGGTAGAGTGCTTTTGAGTGGTTGGGCTGCTCCGTGAGCACCTGGGAGGGAGGAAGAGGTTGGGCAAGGAGAGCCGGAGAGGAAAAGCAGCAGGGAGCGTGAGGAAGAGGCCGAGCACGCGATGTTTGGAGGGCCTGCGCCAGAACAAGAGCGCGTTGGCGTGGTTGGGCTGCTCTGTGAGCACCTGGGAGGAAGAGGGGTGGGCAAGAAGGGCGGGCGTGGACAGGTGTGAGGGCCAGCAGAGTGCATGCGTGCCAGTGTGAGGGCCAGCAGAGTGCATGCGTGCCAGTGTGAGGGCCAGCAGAGTGCATGCGTGCCAGTGTGAGGGCCAGCAGAGTGCATGCGTGCCAGTGTGAGGGCCAGCAGAGTGCATGCGTGCCAGTGCTCTCCGGTAGAGTGCTTGGCGTGGTTGGGTTTCTCTGTAAGCACCTGGGAGCATGGGGACGAGTTTGAGCAACAAGGGCGAATAATGAGAGAGAGGGGACGAGTTGGAGCTGTCCCATGGCAACTAATGGGAGTGAATGGGGACGAGCTGTAACATGGCAAAACTTCGCTCCCATTCAACCCAGAAAACTACACCCAGCGTACTCCATCTCACCTTTTGAATGCGGGCACATACTTCGCTCCCTCCCCTTCATCCTCAACTACATCCCACGCATCTTACCTAGTCCGCCCATTCTATAGCCCGTGCATACTCCCCCATGTCATGCTGACACGCTGCTGGTGTGGCATCACGCCAGCAAGCCACGGTGACATGCTGAGGGCATCTTACCTTGTCCGCCCATTCTATGGCCCGTGCATACTCCGCCATGCCATGCTGACATGCTGCCACGTTCAGCTGCAGAGCGGTCTGCAGGGATGGGCCGTGTAGTTGGGGGGAGGAGGGGGAGGGGAGAAGGGACGGCTTAGTGTCCATGCTGCCCCATCCAACACACATCCCACTGCCCCCACTGCACTGCCCCAACCTGCCGGCACTATCCCATTTTCACCTCCCCCCACGTCCCCCCTGCCCCCGCATCCTCCCTGCCGCCCATTCCCCCTGTCGCCTGCCACCCGCTCCCCCAATCACGTCACCTGCACGGTGTTGAACTGCTTTGAATCCTCGCCCTCCTTGGGGTGCACGTGCCGCATCTCCCTCACCTGCTCCACAATGACCACCCCCTCTCCACACCCTCCCCCCTCTCTCACCTGCACGGTGTTGAACTGCTTCGCCTCCTCGCCCTCCTTGGGATGCAAATGCCCCCTTCCCCTTCACCAACCCCACCTGCTCCACACTCTCCCCCCCCTCTCCACACCCTCCCCCCTCTCTCACCTGCACGGTGTTGAACTGCTTTGCCTCCTCGCCCTCCTTGGGATGCACATGCCTCATCTCCCTCAGCAGCTGCTCAACAAACGAATGGTACCAAGTGGTGGAGAGTGGTGCAAGGCATAAAGCTTTGGTGCAACGCACCTCCCCGACAGACTCAAAAGGCCACTCAAAAGAGCCAGCAGCCTCAGCCGCAAACTTAGGAGCGAGTTTTTGAAACGCCTCGCCTCGAAGAAACGAGCGGTTTGGTGCAAGCAAAGCAGTGCAACAGCCAACGGAGTCAAAAGGCCACGCTAGAATAGCCAACAGTCTACGCTGCATTACTACGAGTGGACGGCAGCGTGTACGGCACACGTTGGTCGTCTTTGAAAATTCTCAAAAATGACTCCAAAGCAGCCTATGCTGCATCGCCACAAGTGCAAGGCAGCATGTACAGCGGATTGGACCTTACCCTTTCATACTTGCTGCATGCGTGGCTATATTTCTTCTCCTTGTACAGCGTATTCCCCTGCAGGCAGTGAGATGGGACGTGGTGGGACGTGGTGGGACGTTGTGGGACGGGATGGGATGGGATGGGATGGGATGGGATGAGATGGGATGGTATGGGATGGGATGGGATGGGATGGGATGGGATGGGATGGGATGGGATGGGATGGGATGGGATGGGATGGGATGGGATGGGATGGGATGGGATGGGATGGGATGGGATGGGATGGGATGGAATGGGATGGGATGGGATGGGATGGGACGTGGTGGGACGGGATGGGATGGGATGAACATGATGGTTCCATCAAGTCAACATTGAAACCCCACGGGTCAAGCACAGAACAAGGCACACACCATAGCAGTTTGAACCAGTCGCAACCAGCTGCTTGCCACCCTAAAGTGAACCCTAAAGTGAACTCTAAAGTGAACCCTAAAGTGAACCCTAAAGTGAACCCTAAAGTGAACCCTAAAGTGAACCCTAAACTGAACCCTAAAGTGAACCCTAAAGTGAACCCTAAAGTGAACCCTAAAGTGAACCCTAAAGTGAACCCCAAGACCAGTGGTATTCCATACCAACTGCTTGGTTTTGTCAATTTCAGCGAGAATCTCTTCAAACGACAGCCCCTCCCAGCCCTGCTCTCACAGCCACGGAAACAGGGTAGGGGTTTGGGGTATAATGTTGGGGGTTAAAGGTTTAGGGTGTGGGAGGATGATCTAGTAGTGTGCACACAACCCTTTTCTATTCAGCAAGAATCTCTTCAAACGACAGCCCCTCCCAGCCCTGCTCTCACAGCCACGGAAACAGGGTAGGGGTTTGGGGTATGGTATGGAGTTGGGGGTTGGAGGTTTAGGGTGTGGGATGGGAGGATCAACTAGAAAAGCGTGCACAAACCATGGCAGCACAGCGGGAATCTCTTGAAACAACAGCGCCTCCTAGCCCTGATCTCACAGCCATGAGGGTGGGAAGGAGAGGGGGAGACGAAAAGAGGAGAGAGAGCGGGAAACGGGAGGAGGAGGAAAGCGAAAGTGGGGGGTCATGGGAAGAGAGAAGAAAGAATGGGAGGAGAGAAGAAAGAGGGGAAAGAACGGAAAGAGGGGAAAGAACGGAAAGAGGGGAAAGAACGGAAAGAGGGGAAAGAACGGAAAGAGGGGAACGGAGAGGTCGAACGCGAAAAAAACAGCTCACTTTGATTCTCTTCAGACCTTGGCTCGAATACATTGGCTCACCTTGGGCAGCTCGAATCCAAACAGCTCCACCTCCCACTGCACCCTCGCACACCCAACCAGACCCAACCGTTCAAGTGGAAGGGCTCACCTGGGCCGCTCGAATCCAAACAGCTCGACCTCCCACTGCACCATTGCTCCCTCTCATGACTGAAGAAAGCCCACTCGCTCCACCTGCTGCCACCCATGCACCCTACCGGTACTCATCCATGCACCACACCTTGCCCTGCCACCACTCATCCATGCACCACACCTTGCCCTGCCACCACTCATGCATGCACCACACCTTGCCCTGCCACCACTCATGCATGCACCACACCTTGCCCTGCCACCACTCATGCATGCACCACACCTTGCCCTGCCACCACTCATGCATGCACCACACCTTGCCCTGCCACCACTCATGCATGCACCACACCTTGCCCTGCCACCACTCATGCATGCACCACACCTTGCCCTGCCACCACTCATGCATGCACCACACCTTGCCCTGCCACCACTCATGCATGCACCACACCTTGCCCTGCCACCACTCATGCATGCACTCACCTTGGGCCGCTCGAAGCCAAACAGCTCCACCTTCCACTGCACCCTCGCACCCCCAACCAGACCCAACCAGACCCAACCGTTCAAGTGGAAGGGCTCACCTTGGGCCGCTCGAAGCCAAACAGCTCCACCTCCCACTGCACCCTCGCTCCCGCCGGTACCCCTTCTGGCCTGATGTGTTGAGACGCCATGGCATGAAATGGGATGGGTTGGGATGGGTCGGGATGGGGTAAGATGGGGTGAGATGGCATTGGATGGCGTGGGATGGGATAGGATGGGATGGCATGGCGTGTGCACGGGTGCTGCTTGTTCCCAAAGCAGGACAGCAACACCAGCTTGACTTCCGGCAATGCAGACGCCACACAAGTGCCTGCCTACACGCCAGGCTCGACACAGGGGGGCGAGCAATCGTGCTAGCAAAGCAATGACCCTAGCACACTGAACTCGACTTGACTGGACACAGGGCTGTATTAGACTGCACACTCGACTGCACACTGAGTCTGCAGGAATGCTAGCATGCACGCAAGCAAGCAACCATACCATGCTAGCAACTACATGCTAGAAGCCTCACTCAGTTACATTTCAGGGAACGAGACATACGTGTATTGCACAGCGCTGCCATGCAAACCCTGTTTTGAGACGTCTCAAAATAAAACACTTCTTCAAATGCATTTCAGGGAACGAGACATACGCGTATTGCACAGCGCTGCCATGCAAGCCCCCTCACCTGGGGAAGGAAGGAGTCATAGGCGTATTGCGCCGTGCTCGAGACCAGCACCACCTCTGCCAGTGAGCACTAAGTGTATGATGAGATTCAGCGAGGCCAGTGCCTCTGCCAGCACTGTGCCATGCTGTCTAGCTAGGCAGCCAGCCCCCTCACCTGGGGAAGGAGTCATAGGCGTATTGCGCCGTGCTCGAGACCAGCGCCACCTCTCCCGGCAGCATCAGGCGAATGCTCGCCTCCAGCGCCTCTGGCAGCTGTAGTGAGGGGCGGGGAGAGAGTAGGAGGGAGAGGGAAGGGAGGCGTGAGCAAGCGGGAGGGAGGGCGTGCAGGAGAAGAGCTTTGAGGAAACTCATTGGAGGAATGCTAGCCTTTCGGGACAAGAGAGGGCAGCGTGAAAGGGATGCTTTGGGGTGCAACAAGGATTGCCTCCACATCCTGGGCCTTTGGAACGCCCAGGAGGCAATCCTTGTTAAGCTTAAAGGTGGTAAATTGACTGCTTGATCTGCTGCCTTTCCACAAACCCTCCCCTCCCACTCACCCTCCCCTCCCCTGTGCCGATCTGCACAGGTTGCCCCTCGCCCTCGCTCCCTTTGCGTGTGTCCATGAATTCAGCCCCGCCCTGATCTGGCAGTGTGCCGCGCATGTGCACGTGCACCACACAGTCCTGCAGCGGACAGTCCATGGGGAAGTCGCCTGGCGGGAAGGGAGCATGGGGTTGAACAAACGGAGGATAGAAAGGGATAGAGCAGGGAGCAGTGGCGCGAGGCACTGGGTCAGTGGGAGGGCAGCCCAGGGGGAAGTGGGTTGGGAGTGTGGACTTGACGGGTCGGGTACTGTTGCAAGTGGTTTAGGTTTTTTTTGTTTTGTTTTTGAAGGGTTTGACGGGTTGGGCACGAGGTTTTGTGAGCTGACCATATGATTTGAGCAAGGACCTCGTCCTATTGAGAAATGCATCAGGCTCACCTGTCCCATCTTGAAGCCTTCTCTTGATCACACACCCGTTGCCCAGCACGTCTCGCACCTGCATGCATGCACACATGCACACATGCACACATGCACACAAGCACACATGCACACATGCAAACAAGCATGCAAACAAGCACACATGCACACATGCAAACAAGCATGCACACATGCACACATGCACACATGCAAACAAGCATGCAAACAAGCACACATGCACACATGCAAACAAGCATGCAAACAAGCATGCACACATGCACACATGCACACATGCAAACAAGCATGCAAACAAGCACACATGCACACATGCAAACAAGCATGCAAACAAGCACACATGCACACATGCAAACAAGCATGCAAACAAGCACAGATGCACACATGCAAACAAGCATGCAAACAAGCACACATGCACACAAGCATGCGTGGACACATGCACACAAGCATGCGTGGACACATGCACACAAGCATGCGTGGACACATGCACACACACATGAAAAAGCTCCATACTGTTCAGCTCAAAATGACATGGTAGGGCGCGGCACATCACGTGCAGAAAACCATACACGGGGAGACCATGCATGTTGGATATATTTCAACAGCAACTCCAACATAGGTGACATACCGCGCAAGACACCCCCACCTGCACCATCTTCACCGGCTGCACATGATACTCCACATCCACCACCCCCTCTGGTGCAGATGACTGATGAGTCAACTACAGATCCACTCATCTATACCATCACAGCCACGCCCCTCACTCACTTCACCCCTCCTCTCCTCCCCACCTGCACCATCTTCACCGGCTGCACATGATACTCCACATCCGCCACCCCCTCTGGCGCGATGAAGTTCAAGTGCACTCATATCCGCACCATCACACCCCCCCATCACCAAACCCCCCCCCCCCCCCCCCCCCCGCCCACCTGCACGATCTTCACCAGCTGCACATGATAAGCCATGTCCACCACCCCCTTTGGTGGCTCCGACCTTTGACTCAACTCAACCACCACACCCCCCCCACCTGTCCTATCGTCACACTCCCCCCCACCCACCTGCACGATCTTCACCAGCTGCACATGATATTCCACATCCACCACCCCCTCTGGTGGCGCCGGCACCACAACCACCGGAGCAGCCAGCCCGAGCCTCCCAGCCTCGACACTCCCAGCCTCACCCTCGGCACTCCTAGCGTCAGGCTCGGCAGTTCCCGGAGCAGGGGCAATGGCAGGAGGAGGTGGAGGGAGAGGGGTGTCAGGCGCAGGGGGGATGGTGTGGGGGGAGGAGGCAAAGACGACGGCCTTCTCCCCTGTGAGCATGTGCGAGAGAGCGAGATCGAGCGCTGGCGGGAGCTGGGGGAACAAGGGGAGGGGAGGATGGAGGAAAAGCAGGGGGGAGGATGAGCGGACGGGGCGGATGGGCTGTACGAGGCACATGGTGTGGGGGGCGGAGGCAAAGACGACGGCCTTCTCCCCTGTGAGCATGTGCGAGAGAGCGAGATCGAGCGCTGGCGGGAGCTGGGGGAACAAGGGGAGGGGAGGATGAAGGAAAAGCAGAGAGGTGAACAAGCGTACGAGGCACATGGGGGATGTGGGGGGAGGAGGCAAAGACGACGGCCTTCTCCCCTGCGAGTATATGCGAGAGAGTGAGATCGAGTGCTGGGGGCAGCTGGGGAAACACGGGGAACAAGGGGAGGGGAGGGCCAAGGAAAGGCAGGGGGAAAGATGAGTGGGTGGGGCAATGCGTATGTGTCGGGGGGGAGGGAGGCATACGACATACGACCACCTTTTCCCCTGTGCGCATGTGGGAGAGAGCGAGGTCCAGTGGTGGGGGGAGCTGGGGAAAGGGGAACAAGGGGAGGGGAGGATGAAAAGAACAGAGAGAGAGAGAGAGGGAAATGGACCATTCGAGGAAATGGACGGATGGAGCAAATGAGGGACGGGTGTGGAGGGAGGAGACCAAGACGACCGCCTTTTCCCCTGCAACCATGTGAGAGAGGGCTGGATCGAATTCTGGGGGGAGCTGGGGCAAACAAGGGGAGGGAAGGAGCCTGTGTTTGAGTCGACTCAAAGGAAGGAGCCTGTGTTTGAGTCGACTCAAAGGAAGGAGCCTGTGTTTGAGTCGACTCAAAGGAAGGAGCCTGTGTTTGAGTCGACTCAAAGGAAGGAGCCTGTGTTTGAATCGACTCAAGGGAAGGAGCCTGTGTTTGAGTCGACTCAAAGGAAGGAGCCTGTGTTTGAGTCGACTCAAGGGAAGGAGCCTGTGTTTGAATCGACTCAAAGGAAGGAGCCTGTGTTTGAGTCGACTCAAAGGAAGGAGCCTGTGTTTGAGTCGACTCAAAGGAAGGAGCCTGTGTTTGAGTCGACTCAAAGGAAGGAGCCTGTGTTTGAGTCGACTCAAGGGAAGGAGCCTGTGTTTGAGTCGACTCAAAGGAAGGAGCCTGTGTTTGAGTCGACTCAAAGGAAGGAGCCTGTGTTTGAGTCGACTCAAAGGAAGGAGCTTGTGCCTTCAACCTCCCTCCACCCTCCTCTCTCCCCACTCTTCTATCCCTATACCCTCTCCTGTCTCGTGACTTACCCACGCTGAGCCCAGAGCGAGGTGCAGGGGAGGGGAGGAGGCGGTGCCAGGCGCATAGAAGGGCGTTGACGAGCCCAGAGGGCGACCCTCCAGCCTGCCAGGCAGGGGCGAGGGCGCACATGGGGCAGACGGGGGAGATGGGGCAGATGGGGGGGAGGGGGCACATGGGGCAGACGGGGGAGATGGGGCAGATGGGGAAGATGGGCATGGAGATATGTGAGCGTGCATGCATGTATGTACATGCGCTTGCACATGCACATGCACAACGAATGTGCCTTGAATGGGCAGGGCAAGGCGAGGCAAGGCAAGGCAAGGCAAGGCAAGGCAAGGCAAGGCAAGGCGGTACCTACCTGATCTTGACTTCATACGGCGGCCTCGGCTGCTCCCAACCTCTCCCCTCTTCAACCGTCTGATACAATCACAATCCGCAGGGGGCACACGCAATGCAATCACGGAACACAGGGTGGAATGTGCGTCATTGAATGGTGCAATGATGACTCACAGCGGAGCGGCTTGAATCAAAGCTGCACAATCACATGATGCCATCGGTGGTGAGGGGAATGCTTGTCAACAAGAAGCAGCAACGGGAGGGGCAAGCCTTTCATTCCCTCAACGGGAGGGGCAAGCCTTTCATTCCCTCAACACACAGCATCGGTGAGGCACTGCCTCTCATGCTTCATGCCTATCAGGCAGGCTTCCTGTCAGGTCTGAGTTCCATTTGGTCACTACCCTCCCTCTGAACCAGAAACCGCATTACTCACCCTCCCTCTGAACCAGAAACCGCATTACTCACCACCTTGTTTTTGAATTGTGGCCTTTCCACGAGCCTCATTCTCCTTCGCCATGAGGCTCTTTCCCTCTGACCGCCACCCACCTGTTTCGTAATAAACCGCTCGCCTTCCCCATACCACGCTATCCTCCTCCTCTTCCTCCTCCTCGCCTCCCTCCTTCCTCCATGCAATAAAAAACTTGTTCTGAGACGTCTCAAAACACACCCACCTGTTTCGATTTGAGGCGCCTCAAAACTAGACTCCCTCCGTTCTCCATGCAATGATAAACTTGTTCTGAGACGTCTCAAACACACCCACCTGTTTCGTGATAAACCGTTCGTCTTCCTCATACCCACACACAACATCCTCCTCTTCCGCCTCCTTTCCCTCCTCCCCTTCTCCCTCTGCACCACCCTCCTTCTTCTCTCGCTTCCCCGCCAGCACCCACACAGCAGCAGCAGATACCACCTCCACCTCCAGCTGCAGCTCCTCATCCGCAGGCACGCCTGGGGGAGGCTTTATCTGGCAGGCAGGGTCGCTGTAGTGGGCTGAGGGCTCTGCTTTGAACTGCAGAATAGGGAACCCGGGGAAGCAGGGGTGGGGGGGAGAATTGGGTGAAAGGAAGAGAGAGAGCAGTAAGTGAAGGAAATAAGAGAGCTGACGGCATCATTTGGGGGCAAGAGCGGAGATTCCATAGCATGTGCAAGGAGTTCGGTAGCATGTGCAAGGAGTTCGGTAGCATGTGCAAGGAGTTCGGTAGCATGTGCAAGGAGTTCGGTAGCATGTGCAAGGAGTTCGGTAGCATGTGCAAGGAGCAGTAAGTGAAGGATTCCATAGCATGTGCAAGGAGTTCGGATTGAGTGATTTCAAAAGCTCTCACTACCGCCACCTCCTTCCCCTCCTGGGAAAGGAAGTTGACTTTAGAGACGTCTTAAAAATCAACTTCTTCATCAGCGGAGATTCCAAAGCATGAGCTAGGAGTTCGGTATGAGTGAATTCATAACTTCCGCAACTACCAACTCGCCTGCACACCCCGTGCTTCCGCGCTGTCACCAGCTCAACACACTCGCAAAAGAAATACAAAATTTGTCTTTTGAAGCGCCTCAAGATTACGGAGTCAGGAATCTCACCACGGCCACCTCGCCCTCGCACATGGTACACAGCCCGTGCTCCAATGCTGCCGCCAGGTACATACATTCGAGTTGCCACCAGCTCGACATTGACGGGAATGGAAAGTCAACTCAAGAATAGCCACGTGTAGAGAGGGTGTTTGCTTTTGAGACGTCGCAAAAACACCCTCTCTACACATTGCCACCAGCTCGACATTGAAGGGAATGGAAAGTCAACTCAAGAATATGCAGTCAGGAATCTCACCAGTGCCACCTCGCCCTCCCGCATGGTGCACAGCCCGTGCTCCAATGCTGCCACCAGCCGGCTCTCCCCCACCACCACTCGCCGCGGCCGCCCCGACCCTGCTCACACAAGCATTCACGGGAGCGATGAGGTGAAGGTGGGCGATGAATGGGCAAAAATGGTATTACCCGGCATAACGGGTGTAGGTACTCGTAGGTAATCACTATTCACACCCCATGCCATACTCTCACTGTATGCCATACCTCCCACCCACTGCATGCCATACCTCACACCCCATGACATAGCTCATACCATGCCATATCGTGCCATCCCCAAACCCCAAGCCATATGTCATACCCCTGCCATACCGAACACCCCATGCCATACCTCACACCTCACGCCGTACCTCCATGTTCGGCTCGGGTGGAATCACATATGTGGCCCGAAGCCGCACGAGTGGTGCAGTGGAAAACCACCTGGAGGGCGGTGGGGCCACGACGAGGGGTGGGGGTTGAAGAATTGATGATCAGGACGGGAGGGTGGTGGTGGTGTGGGGGGGAGAACGGGAGGGCAGAAGCATAAGCTGCACGAGTGGTGCAGTGGAAAACCGCCTGGCGGGCGGTGGGGGCACAAGGGGTGGGGGTTGAAGAGGGGAAAGGGGGTGGAGGGGGGGACGAGAGAGGAGGAGAATCACTAAAATATTGGTGACACATGAAAGTACGTCAAAATTGCTGACCAGGACACGGCGGGTGGTGCGGGGGAAGAGAGGATGGTGAGAGGAGAGGGGGGGGGGGAAGGCAATGATGGTCGGAACAAGATGGGTGGGGAGGGAAAGCATAAGCATGGTGAGTGGTGCAGTGGACAACGGGATGATGGGAGAAAACGGGTGGTGAGGAGGATTGGTAATTGATGGTGTCCTCTTTTCACAGAAGTTCCGATCCTTTGCAAATTACCGCCTTCATCACACCCTAAATATAGCCACGTGATAACATGTTGGTTCTGAGACGTCTCAGAATTGTTCACGAATTACCGCCATCATCACACGCGAAAAAAAATTAAGCGCCAGAATTGGAATCACTGGCTTCATCACTCCCACCAGCTGCTTCCCCTCACCTTACGTGACGCACCCCCCTGTGATCTCCTCTCACCGCCAATACTATTATTCGCGAATCAATAATTCATGTTACCTGGTGACCGTCCTCCACCGGCAATCCCGATCCTTCGCGAATCACAGCCTTCATCACCCCCTTTAGCTCCTTCTTCACTTTCTCCGTCCCGCCTTTCTTTTTCGCGCCCCGTTTCCCCCTCCCGCCACTTCCGGCCCCTTCCATCGTAGCCTGAAAATCGAACTAGTAACGCCTGCGATACTCAGATAGCTTCTGTGAGCACGTCGCGACACGGGTCGACGTCAGGTGACAATTTTGGTCGCGACTTTGACACGAATGGCGAATCTAGTTTCAGCCCTAATCGCGACGCGTCAATTGTCAGATGGCTTCTGTTAGCGCGTCGGATTCGACCTTTATCCCGTCAATCTAGTCTCCTCTTAGACTCAGATTCAGCCGTCTCATTGTTATTTACTCATTCCCAAGAGGTGCAACAGAAACTTAGGCCCACGCTAAAGCCTCAAGTGAAGTGCACCAAGTGATGCCTATTACCGCTTTGGAACGCAACAGACCAGGCACAACCGTTATTCGTGAAAGTGGAGACCAATCCCGTCACACCGTCACTGACGAAAGCAAATCAAGATTCCGCAGGGTGACAACGACAGCCAATGGTTGAGCAATCCGGGCGCGCGAGAAGTACACCACCGAAAGCACCCGACCCGACACCTTGGGAGCTTCGATTACTCGGGATGCTGACGTGAAAGATTAAGGTCCCGAAACCGGGATCTTTCTCACTACAGGCAATTCTCATTACAGGCAGGTTGGCCAGACATTTCCTACACCAGCCAAGCATCACGAGTTCTTAAGCCATGGAGATTATACTTCGATGTGAGCTTTACGCGTCCACTTGGAATATAAGGGACCACGCATGGCAAACAAAAAGCTAGGCAGAGCCAACTGGGTGATATTGGTGACAAGGCAGGGCAGGGCTGTTGGCTAGGCTGGCTAAATGATACCAGTCACCCTGCTTCGGCATCATGGACTGACAGCATCGCATTATCAGAAGAGCCATTTTCAGCTTAGTAGAAGAAGCCGAGCACCTTGCCTCCCACGTTCTTCCGCCTGGCCTCATCGTGGTCCATGATGCCGCTAGACGTGGTGAGCACAATGTAACCAAACTGGTAACACGGGAAGGAAACACAACAACAGGGGCATAAAGAGGTCAGCAAGGGCACAAAAAACACAACCCAATGGAACGCGGAAGAACATCAGGCACAGACAAGCAACCAGGAACCTGTGACACCCACAGTGAGGCTCCCAACGTGTTCCAGCGCCAAACAATGCGGAATCACCCATAAAGACCCTTTCCATCTGTTACCCCTCCCACCCTGCATTTCACTGCCAGACAGCATTTTATTTTCCATTTCCAACCTTCTCACCTCAACAGCATGGGAAACGCTTGACTTGCTGCTCACACTAGGCACACTAACCCCCCAAGTGAAAAACTCCTCATAGACGCTAATCCTCCCACTCCTCGGACGAGGGCTACACGCACTTATTCCCCCCACCCGCCCCCCCCCTTCTCCCCCCTTCTTTCCCCCCTCCTCTTCCATCTCCCTCCACTCGCCTCCTTCCCCCACAAACTGCTTATACTACTCAACACTTGTTGCATGCGCTCCATTATCAACGCATACACAACCGTACAGTCGATACACTACCCCACTCAAGTTGCAATACCCACCTGACGGGAGGGCAGCAGGCGCTCGGTCCAGTTCTCAATATCGCCGACAGCGATATCGTAACGCGGGCTGATCACGCCGCACTTGTTCAGCCGTCCGTTCAGCTCCACGACAATCTTGCCCGCCCGCCTGTCGTCCACCAGCTCGAACTCGCCGATGTAACCTGGTAACCAGCATTCAGGGGCAAGGGGACAAGACGCACAGGGGAGGTAACGAAACATCATGTCTGGTAACTCTGCAAACACACGCACGAGAGTGGCTGAGAATCATAGGCTTCAGCACACCCAGCTCCCCATCTCCTTGTCTAAGTAACGAAGGATTCAACCAAGGCTGATTCCAAAACGATAGACTTGGTCCTGTCAAAGAAAGTGACGAGGTTTAGGAACAGAGAGTGCGAAGCTTTGAAGATACCGACATGATCGAGGCATCTCGCACGGCGATATTTGCGCATCATGAGCTACGGGACCTACAAATGCTGTCTAAGCCTGGCGTGATCAAGCCTACCCTAACGAGCCAATCCCTAGAATAAGACCCTTAGAGCCTAACGAGCAGCAAATTCGAGGGGGACTAACGAAATTGTGTCCTCGCTGCTGGATGGAAGATCAACGGCTCTGATCGGCTGTCCTTGATCGGCTTGGTACAACGGGCAACAAAGTCTTAGGCGCCTCAAAGATCGACTCGGAATAACGCCCCCCTCTGGTTTGTACGAAGAACCGCTTCCAGTCCAGACGAAGAGCGTTACTACTTTGCTAATAAATATGAGAAATCTGATTCTCTGCCTTAGGTCCGACTACTCTGTTGAAGACTCGTCTCTCCTACAAACATCACATGCTAGCCGGCATAATGCCGTGCGGAGATGGTCACGAACACTGGGGACGAGGGACGACTGACTGCCTACAAGGCCTTTCGAGACGCCTCCAAAGAATGCCTACAAGGCCTCGCTCCTCGCCGGATGGAAACGTCTTGCTCAAACAAACATCGATACTGCGCAGCAGGTCGCTGTAGGAACGTTAGGTTTGAAGGCTTGATGAAGGAAAATAGACCGTGAGAAGCGGGAGATGAAAATCGCCGCACCTCGACAAGGGTATCGCAGAAAAAAACGAGCGAGCGCGCACACGCCGTGTCGCTGCATCACGAATTTTACAGAAGGAATATGCAAGCACGAGCAGCACGCAGGGACGCACGCACAAGCACGCACAAGCACGCACGCACCGTGTCGCTGCATGACAGTGAGGAACTTGATGATGACCTTGGAGCTGGGGCGGATCAGCACCTGCCGCTTCCCGCGCTTCTCCGCGTTGTACATGCTCTTGAGCGCATCGTTAAGAACGCTAATTCTGACCATCTTGACTAAATGGCTCCTTGTCTAAGCAAGGCAGGGAGAGGCAGGCGCGGCGCAAAAGCGGCTCCAGAGGGACGAGGAAAGGAAGAGCAGGAAAGAGAAAAACTGAGCGGCGAGGAGGAAATATGAATTAGGGTTTGGGCGGGATTAGCAGCGAGAGGCAGGAGAAAGACGGGAAGCAGGGGGAGGAAGGTGGGGGATGGCGTGGGGAGGTTGTGCGGGGCGGGGAAGGATGGCCCATGGGGAAGGGGGCAGGGCGCGGAGCTGGGATGGGGCCGGAAGAGGAAAAGCCCCCACAGAGGTGAAACCGCGCAGCGCGATCGGACGGACCCTGTTTGATCTAGACTATTTCGTACACCCTATTCTATGAGTAGTTTCTACCGGTACGTGTGAAAATTTATCAGCTCCATAAATCACTTCAAAATTCTATATTCTAACTCTGCTATGCTCCATCCAATATGATACCAATCTTATACACCCCATCCTACAGTGCGCCTACCATTATTGCTTTATTATAAATAAACAGTGAAGTGTATTGCTGAGCACATGGTTAAGCATCTCCATCAGCAGCAGCATCCGAATCTGCGTCCCCATACTGAGACCTCACCCAACCAACAAATGCGTTCAGGAACTCAACAAATGTGCACACACCGTTGGAATCCCGGTCCATTTCCTCTGAAAAAGAAGTGGAAAGTAAAAAAGGAAAACAAAAGCACTTTCATTAGTTGCTGCTGTATGGTGGAGCACAGAGCAGGATACTGGGACGCAAGGTTTGAGCAAGAACGTACGCATGCGCATGGAGATGTTCCGAAGAAGCGTGCCCTCCTTGAGAGTGTTGTGGCTGCTAAAACCCTTTTCAATCTCTGCCCGCGTGAGCTGCCCGTCATGGTCCTCGTCAAAATAAATGAATGCATCTACAATTATTTGAAAGGCAGCGTTAATGTCTCCTGTGCCAAGGCGTGGCTTCTGCTATAAGGAAAAGAGGTTGGAGAGGGGAGAGGGAAGGTAGGAGACAATGTCAGGTACAATAGTCCAGAATAGAGGTTGCGTCAGGCAGAAAAAGGCCTGTTGCGGAGCAGTAGGAGATGGAAGAGAGTGGGAGCTCGTACATGGCATAAGAGAAGCAGGAGAAGCAGGTATATTGATAGGGGGTGGAGATGTTTGGACGAAAGATGGAACGGGCTATGGAGTGTACAGAACAAGCCATACAAGTACCTTAGAGTTTTAACCATACCCATGGCAATGACCCCAGCCCAACCAGTTGCTTGAAGACCATGCTAAGCCTCTGGATGCATGCCACACATGCACACATACACCCACAGACCCACACATGCACACATACACCCACAGACCCACACATGCACACATACACCCACAAACCCACACATGCACACATGCACACACACATGCACACACACATGCACACATACACTCACGCGTGCACACGTGCACCCACACGTGCACCTCACTCACTTTCTCACACACACATACGCACACAAACACACACACCTGATCGCTATCAGCCGACTCGAGCAAGAACACAATGCCCAGGCACAGCACGAACGCATTGAAGCACACCACTGTTGCCTCCTCTGCTGGAACAGAATCCGACCCTTCCCCATACGAAGTGTCCAACTCCGTCTGCTCGAATATGGCCTTCAGCTCCTCTTCGCTCACTGTCACCTGCGAATAGCAGTGGAACCAGATTGAATCTTGTCAGTTTGAATAAGAAAACTGAGTCGGCACTTACTCTGACTCTTCACCATACGAAGTGGCCAACTCCGTCTGCTCGAACATGGCTTTCAGCTCCTCTTCGCTCACTGTCACCTGTGATTGGCCGTGAGTGACCAGAGATTGATGGAAGTGTGAAACGAAAACGCATCAGAAATGTAGGTATGTATGCGGCATGCCACTGTCACTGCATACACTCTTTCGATCACTGCCATGCCATGGTGTCACCAGTCGTTCTTGATATGTAAGGGAAATAATGGACGCAAGGTTAATACACCATCTTACACACCACCTCTCACATACCTCACACACAATTCACGCACCACCATCAATTTCTGCAAGCACGAATCCAGACTCCGGTCAGGCTGAAGGTGGCCAAAAGGCTTCACACAGAAGAAGCTGAAATGAAGGTGGAAGGCAATTAAAATGCAGGCTTCCCTGGGTCCAATTACAATGTACATCCACTCTTGACAGTTTCTGACAATCCTGACGGATGTGCCACTTTCTGTCACTTCTGACCGAACTGAACGCACCTCCAGCTGCGCGAGCGCGGTCTTCAGCTCGTCCAACGTCATGCCTTCTTTGCCCTCGGGCACTGCACAACACGTGCATGCCATGCACGGCGGTGAGTCCAAGACGACGGAGAGAACGGGGATGACGGGGATGAGGAAGATAAGGCAGATGCGGAAGGTGACAGAAGTTTAGGAAAGGAGGCGGAAGAAGAATAAGCGAACAGATAGAACAAAGAGGCGACAAGGGAGGACTCCTTCCTGGAAATCGCGGGAACGCGAGTGCACAAGGGCTGTTAAACTGCGTGGTTGCAATATATTGATTACAAATAAAATCATGTACAACCTTAGCGCATCGCCCAAGCGTCCATTTGCGCGCACGCTGGACTTCTGAATGAACCTCATCCGCATTGTTCTCTACCTTCCTAGACTCGCATCGGAACATGCTGATTCAGCGGAACATGTGTGAAACCACGCGACACCATGCGAAGCTAGTCTTCAGGTATTTTCAAAGACGAGAATTTTAACGGGCGCCTCAAAAGCGGAAAGCTTCAAGCCTCACGCGCCTGATGCGCCTGCTGCTCGTGATGCTCCTGACGCTTTAATTCGCCCAACGCGCCTGATGCGCTTACCGATTTTGTCGTACACTTCTCGGAGCAGCTCCAGCCCCGCGTTGATCCGCGGGAACTTGAGCACGAACGCTTCGAAGTTCTTCGGAACCTTCTTCACCGTCTTGTGTCTCGCCGCTAGCGCGTCCGTCATCCGCTTCTCCAGCCGCGCCGTCGATCGCGCGGAGTTCGACATGCTGACGTGGCCGCGCGTGTGTTCCGAACAGGATTCGTGGTCGTCGCGTCGCGTTGCGCGGGGTAAATTAAACGTGTCGAGCTGACTGATTAAGCAGGGTGACGCTCTAAAAAAAAATATTGTAGGATTATAAAAAAGGGTGATCGGTCACACGTTCTCGAAAAGCGCGGGATCGAAACGTAATATATCGTTCAGCGCGCTGTAGGAATTTGTCCCGACTCGACCTCCCCGGATCAGCCAGTCAGTCAGTGCGTGCCAGCAGGCTAGCCAGTCCAGGTCTACCTGGTAATTCTTGTGCAGAGCGATAGTGCACGTCCAAAGTCACCTTGTACGCTGTCACCTCGCTTACACAGCAGAGCTATTTGGCTTTGCACGCTTCGAAGCTCCTCGAAGTAGCACTGTAACCGCGAAGCAGTTCTAGCTTCTACTCCACACGCAGCTGTTGTGGAGGAGATGATGGGATGGGAGCAACTCACCACCACCACTGAACCTCTTCTTCGCTCCTGTTCCACTTCGTACATCGAACAAGTGTGTACCTGGGAATATACCTCTCCACAAGAGCAACCTGAGAAGGTTTGGTGAGATTTTGTTCGGTTGAGGGCGGAGCGTATGGTTCTAGGACGGTAAGCTTCACAGAGGCCAAACTGACCTACTGTGGCCGTGGCCTTCACAGGGCAAATTGCTATGGCGTGATACCGTCTTTCCTTTCTGCATGAAAGGTCTATGTGCCGGAACTACTCTATTTCGGTAAGACTGGAATCGTCGGAAGAACCAATTCCGATGTGAAAGTTTACGAACGTTTTCGTTACGGAAAGTTCGGTATAAGACTAAATTTGCTGTGTCTCGCTTTCTGGGAAAGAAGGAACTCTTACGAAAGCTTTGTCAGGGTTCAAAGCGTAACCGAAGCTCATGCCCTGGAAACTCAGATGACGTCCTTCACTTGTCCTTTCCATCTTCGTCCACTGTAGATTGGTGCGTGGGAATTTGGGGAGCAGCTACAGTGACGGCACACCATACTCGTTATTACCATAACGAAATACAATGATGGCTTGTTCAAGCACGTCATGCACAGTGGGCCAGCCGTTCGTCTGTCATCTATGTGAAACATTACCTTGCGAGATGCGGGTTTCCAACTCCTACGTTTCAATTCATCTGCGTTCTTTGCGGTCTAATCCTCTTTATCACTGTTCTATGCGGTGAAGCGCAAATTTGACTGCTGTTGACAGACAGGTTACTGACAGATTTGACCGCTGGAAGCCCAGGAATTGCGGGACTTCAAAGCTGCTGACTTCATAACATAAGACGTGAAGGGAGAAATCTACTGTTTTCGCGTGGTTATATAGGCTCCGTGCGCCAATTCGTGTTCGAGTCGCGTACGCTGGTCATGTTGTAATTATGAATCTTCAGTTCGATGACCGGCGACAGCCTGTCGCACAATGCTCTCGCTGATCACCACTGATGGTGACATTATCAGAACCATGATCCAAGCAGATTAATTAACCAACCGGATCATTCTAATTCGTTTTCACTATGGCCAGCCGGATCCGCATGTTCCAAAGCCGTCAATCGGTCCGATTCAGGCATGTCGCGGTCAACGCAGTCAACGCAAGTATCCTGTTGCAGTTCATCTCCCTTTGGCTCCTAAGCGCGTCGAGCGCCGTATACGGACACAGATACGAGCGGGTACACGTGGCGCACAAGCGCCTGAGAGGCTCGGCAGCGTTGGATGAAGCAGCAGCGTTCGAGGAGTGGCAGGTGGACGCTTCCCGCGTCGTGCAGATCTCCATCCAGCCCCGGTAGGTTGCTTCTTGATAGGTTGTAAGGTAGACCCTGGCAGAGAACGATGGAGCAGCAGCGTCCGAGGGGTGGCAGGTGGACGCTTCCCGCGTCGTGCAGATCTCCATCCAGCCCCGGTAGGTTGCTTCTTGATAGGTTGTAAGGTAGACCCTGGCAGAGATTGATGGAGCAGCAGCGTCCGAGGGGTGGCAGGTGGACGCTTCCTGCGTCGTGCAGGTCTCCATCCAACCCCGGTAGGTTGCTTCTTGATAGGTTGTAAGGTAGACCCTGGCAGAGATCAATGGAGCAGCAGCGTCCGAGGGGTGGCAGGTGGACGCTTCCCGCATCGTGCAGATCTCCATCCAGCCGCGGTAGGTTGCTTCTTGATAGGTTGTAAGGTAGACCCTGGCAGAGATCGATGGAGCAGCAGCGTCCGAGGGGTGGCAGGTGGACGCTTCCCGCGTCGTGCAGATCTCCATCCAGCCCCGTTAGGTTGCTCCGTTCGGCCTCGGTAGATTGTCAGTGTGACTTGACCCTTCCAGTGATCCATCAAGCAGCAGTGTTGGGGTGGCAGGTTGACCCTGCCAGGGTCGTGCAGATCTCCATCCAGCCCCGGTAGGTTGCGTATACGGATAAGGATACCGTACACGTGGCGTGGCGCACAAACGGCTGAGAGTCTCGTCAGCGTTCTATCAAGCAGCAGTGTTGGAGTGGCAGGTTGACCCTGCCAGGGTCGTGCAGACCTCCACGCAACCTCGGTAGGTCGCTTCTTTAGACCTCTCAACAAAAATGGTGAAGACAAGGAAGGGTGCAGCATCATTGGAAGGGTTGCAGGTTGACCCTGCCAGGGTCATGCAGACCTCCACGCAACCTCGGTAGGCCTAGTTAGGTCCTTTCTCACCGCCTGTGATGGGTCGATTTTTGAGTCGACTCAAAAATTGAACCTCGGTAGGCCTAGGTAGGTCCTTTCCCACCGCCTCCAAGTGTACTAGCATCTGAGATTTCGCTCCCTTTTTTCCCTCGCCCGTCCCCCCGTCCCACAGCTTCCCCTTCTTCCCTTCCTTGCCCTACCCCCGGCAGAGCGTTCGTGAACCGTGGATTCCTCTCCCATGCGGAGTGTGATCACCTTGTTGCACTGGTATGGCCTCCCTCCCTCCCCTCTTCCCATTGACATGCCTCTCCTTTCTCCTCACCCTCCCCTCCCCTCCCCTCCCCTCCCATTTCCCCTACCCCCGGCAGCGCGTTCGTGTACCACGGATTCCTCTCCCATGCGGAGTGTGATTCCTTATTGCACTGGGTAGGTGATTATTGAGTAGTCACATTTTTCCCTCCCTCCCCCCTCCCCCACCCTTGACAGGGCGTTCGTGTACCACGGATTCCTCTCCCATGCGGAGTGTGATCACCTCATTGCACTGGTATGGCCTCCCTGCCTCCCCTCTCGCCCCCCGTTACGTCTCCCCTTTCGTCCCCCCCTCTTCTCCCTCTCACATCCGCACAAGACTAAATTTGCCCGTGTGGTACTGATTCACCCATGCACCCATGCACCCATGCACCCATGCACCCATGCACCCATGCACCCATGCACCTATGCCCCCATGCACCCATGCACCCATGCATGTTAGAACTTGAGCTTAGAATCTATGCATTAGTAATGAGCTCAAGGCTTTTTAAGTATATTGGAATTGGGCAAGGTAAGGTTGGGAGGAGAATCGGGGGCAATCTTAGGGAATTGGGGGTAATCCCAAGGCAATCTCCAATTGGTGGGTTGGAGATTGCTTGGAGATCAGATTTGGGTTTGGTTGGGATGTAGGTGTACACCCAACCCAACACAAAGTGCAAACTACACTAAACTAGGATATTAAAAGTACAAGTACAAATGTGAGATTGAGGGCTAACATTAACAATGCACCCATGCTCCCATGCACCCATGCACCCATGCTCCCATGCACCCATGCACCCATGCACCCATGCACCCATGCTCCCATGCTCCCATGCATCCATGCTCCCATGCACACATGCACACATGCTCGCTTGCTCCCGTTCACCCATCCCATGCACCTATGCGCCCACGCACAGCACGATATCCCCCCCTTCCATGCGCCTCTCCCTACATTTCTCCATACAGTTCCTTCCTGCACGCTTCCTTCCCCTCCCCGCCTCTCCCCGCTGGCTCCAGTCGCACCCGAAGCTGATCCGCCCAGCCACGCAAGCCACCCCACCTTTCGAATGCGCAATGCTCGTTTTGCCTGTCTCTCTCCTGCACGCTGCTTCCTCCTCCATCCCGCTTCCATCACTAATTTGTCGCTCCTCCGTCGCTCCTGCTCCCCACCTCTCCCAGTCCCACCCCAAGCTGCTCAGCCCAGCAACACTACATATTTTCTGACGCTGCACGCTGCTTCCCTCCCCCTCCCCCCCCCCCCCTCCCGCGTCCCTCCCTCGTCCCTCCCGGCCGCCCACAGTCCCACCCCAGGCTGCTCAGGCCAGGCATGCCAGCCAACGGCACATATCTTCTGCCGCCAAAAGAAATCCTCCCTGCATGCTGCTTCCCTCCCCCTCCCCCCCCACTCCCCCCCCATGTCCCCCCCCTCTCGCGTGTCTCCCCGCTGCCCACAGTCCCAGCAGAAGCTGCTCCGCCCAGGCATGCTAGCCAATGGCACCTTTCTCCGGAAATATCAGGTGAGCTGTGTGCTGTGGTCTGGTGCGCTGCGGTGTGGTGATGTGTGGTACGGTGGTACCTTAATCGGTAAAAAAACCACTCAAACTGCTCTTCCCAGGCACACAAGCCAATGGCACCTTCCTCCAGAAATATGATGTGAGCTGTGCGGCGCTGTGCGGTGCGGTGAGGTGTGGTGTAACGTGGTGTGCGAGGCGAAAGGAGGGAATGTGTGGTTGTGGGATATTATATGGGTGATATTCTGTTTTTTTGTTTTTTATTAAATGAAAGAAAAAGGTACACTGCTCCAGGGAGGTGAACCAGTTAGGTTAAAGGGTACAGGTGGTTGTTGAGAGATGTAGGATATCCACTTTTGAGGCATCTCAGAAGTAGTCACCAAGGAATCTTCTGCTTCGACTCAAACCCTGGAATTTCTCAATAACCCCATTTCCCTGTGTGTAACTGAGAGTAGGCACATCCACCGAGTGAATTCGACAACAGCAATGCCCATGCCCATGCCCATGCCCATTCCCATGCCCAGCCCATGCCATGCCCATGCCCCAGCCCATGCCATGCCATGCCCATGCCCATGCACATGCCCAGCGAGGGGTGTGATGCTGTAAAACAGTGGTAGTCTGTGTGAATGTGTGCAGTGTATGTAGAATAGTTTATAAGTCCGTTTTCATGCGAGGCACAAAAACTGGGGTATTCCGAGAATTGAACTCGGGACCTCTCGCACCCTAAGCGAGAATCATGCCACTAGACCAAACACCCACGACTTACATCGTCCACACTCTGGTACTCACCCCGATGCTCACACTCACCCCATGCCCAACCTTATGCCCATGACACGCTCACCAGGACGAGCGGGTGAGGGCTATTGAAGACCGCATTTCATCGTGGATCTTCCTCCCGCGCAGTAAGCTAAGAGAAGTGCTCCATTCTTTACCTGTTCCAATGTTGCCTTTCCTACATGCCAGACCTTCACCTTCTCCCCATCCCCCATTATAGGTACTCCCCTCCCCCAACATCCCCCCAATCTCCTCCCCCCACACCCCCCCACATCCCCCCACATCCCCCCACTCTCCTCCCGCCACATCCCCCCACATCCCCCCACTCTCCTCCCGCCACATTCCCCCACATCCCCCCACATCCCCCCTCAGAACCCACGGACGGAGCCCCAGCTATTGCGCTATCACACGGGCCAGCAATTCGACGTGTATTGCGACTACTTCCAACACGAGGAAACCGGAGGAGAGGCAGTCACTGCTCGCTCTTGACATCACCCACTGCGTCCACTCGCCCCACCTCCCCTCTCAGAGCCCACGGGCCCACTTAATGCTCTACAATAGGGGCCAGCACTTCGACGTGCATTCCGACTACTTCCAGCACAAGGAGGACCGGCAGGACTGGCAGGTGCTGCATCAACTCATCATTGGCAACACTTCCTACCTCCCACTCCTACAACCCCAGAGCCTACGGAGCCCCAGCTGATGCGCTACAATACAGGCCAGCTGTTCGACGTGCATTATGACTACTTCCAGCACAAGGAGGGCCGCCGGTCACTGCTCTTCTCATCCCTTCCCACTTATTGCACTCGCCCCACCTCCCCTCTCAGAGCCCACAGAGCCACAGCTGATGCGCTACAATACAGGCCAGCAGTTCGACGTGCATCATGACTACTTCCAGCACAAGGAGGACCACCAGGTGCTGCACCGGGCTGCAACACTCGTCCTCTTCCTCTCAGACGTGGAGCGGGGCGGCGAAGTCACTTTCCCCAAAGGCAAGGTTAGTTGCCTTGCCTCGGCACTACATGCGCACACACCCGCCATGCCTCCAGCCAGCCCATCCCTCTCTTTTTAGGCGCCTCGATCTTGATCCCAATCCCATTGGCGCATCTCCTTTTGAGTCGACTCAAAAGCAATCCCATTGGCGCATCTCCTTTTGAGTCGACTCAAAAGCAATCCCATTGGCGCATCTCCTTTTGAGTCGACTCAAAAGCAATCCCATTGGCGCATCTCCTTTTGAGTCGACTCAAAAGCAATCCCATTGGCGCATCTCCTTTTGAGTCGACTCAAAAGCAATCCCATTGGCGCATCTCCTTTTGAGTCGACTCAAAAGCAATCCCATTGGCGCATCTCCTTCTTCCTCCATCTTCTATTCCCTGCCTTCCCCCCATGGTTTCCCCCCATGGTTTCCCCCCATGGTTTCCCCCCATGGTTTCCGTTCACTCTTTTTCGATCTTCCCCCCCACTCCTTGCGCTGCTCGGCTCTCTTTCCGCCACCCCTGCAGTGCATTTCTGGATTCGAAACTCCCATTGCCGCTCTCTCCTCCACCTCTTCATGCTTCTACCACCATGCTCCTCACTCTGCACCCCTCTCTGCTCCTCACTCTGCACCCCTCTCTGCTCCTCACTCTGCACCCCTCTGTGCTACTCTGCACTCCTCTGTGCTCCTCACTCTGCACCCCTCTGTGCTCCTCACTCTGCACCCCTCTCTGCTCCTTCTCTCCCTCCCCCCCGTGTACGCCTCCACCTCTCCCCCTGTGCACCTCTCCCCCTGTGCACCTCTCCCCCTGTGCACCTCATTCGCCCCTCCCCCCTGCCAGCCTGAGCGCGATCAGGACTTTGGGCCCGTCTCAGACTGCGCTAAAGGCCGCATTGCTGGTGAGGCGCATTGCACCGCTCTGCACTCCTCCTCCTCCTCAACCCCCCCCCCACACCCCTGGGATAGAGGCCGCACTGCTGGTGAAGGGGGGCGAGGGGTTGAGTTGTGCTGGGCTTTGTGGTGGAATGGAATGTGAAGTCCTTTTTTAGCGGACTTGCCCATGCCCCCCTTGCCCATGCTCCCCTTGCCCATGCTCCCTTGCCCATGCCCCCTTGCCCTTGCCCCCATGCCCATGCCCCCCGTTGCCCTCCCTTGACTTTGCCCCCATTGCTGGGTTGTGAAAAAGCACACTTATTCCTTGCGGTACCCATCGTTCTCTCCCCCAACCTCTCTCTCCCCCAACCTCTCTTTCCCCCAACCTCTCTTCCCCCCACCCTTCCCCCCAGTGAGGCCGCGCAAGGGCAATGTGCTGCTCTACTTGCACCTCTTCCCCAACGGCTACAGCGACCCCAGGGCACACCGGGAGGACTGCCCTCTCTGTACTTGTCCCTAAACCTTCTTCCCCCAACCTTCACCTCCCTCCCCCAACCTCCCTCCCCTTCCCCCCAGTGAGCCCACGCAAGGGCAATGCGCTGCTCTACTTCCACCTTTCCCCCAACGGCTACAACGACCCCAGGGCATACCGGGAGGACTGCCCTCTCCTCCCTCCCTCCCACCCAACACCCTCTGTGGGGACGAGCTTGGGGGGGCTTTTTAGGGGAATGAGGGGCAGCAGTGGGAGCGATGGCAGTGCTGGTGCAGGAGGCAGCACGGGCGGCGGCGCGGGCAGCGGTGCGGGCGGCAGGCTGGAAGCAAAGTGGACGGCGGAGAAGTGGGTGCACATGTTCAAGTACATGACGCGGCGAAGCCTTTTGGACTGTACTGACGAACACCCCAACTGCGCCATGTGGGCGGCGGGCGGCGAGTGCAAGAGGAACCCAGGGTACATGGTGGGAGAAGGTGGGTATGTGGGGAATTGTCGCAAGGCGTGTAAAGTTTGTAATGACTGATCGAGCTGTTAGCAGGCCATGTGGGCGGGCGGACAGCGAGTGTAAGAGGAACCCAGGGTACATGGTGGGAGATGGTGGGTATGTCGGGAATTGTCGCAAGGCGTGTAAAGTTTGTAACGACTGATCGAGCTGTTAGCAGGCCATGTGGGCGGGCGGACAGCGAGTGTAAGAGGAACCCAGGGTACATGGTGGGAGATGGTGGGTATGTCGGGAATTGTCGCTAGTCGTGTAAAGTTTGTAGCGATTGATTTGAGCAGTTAATGGGCAGTGGGGGCGGCGGGCGGCGAGTGTAAGCGAAACCCCGGGTATATGGTGGGTGGGAGAAGGAGGGTATGTCGGCAATTGCCGCAAGTCGTGTAAAGTTTGTAACGATTAATTGAGCTGTTACCAGGCTGAGTGGGCGGGCGGGCAGCGAGTGCAACAGAACCCCGGGCACATGGTGGGCGAATGTGGGTATGTGGGGGATTATTGCAATTCGAGTATTGTAGCGATTGATTTGAGCTGGTATCAGACAACGTGTCAGAACATTATAGCTTACTCATTTATGTAGGCTATAGTGGGGTATCCCATAGGGGGTACAACCCAGTTAGGGTTTCCTATTTGTACTCACTTCGTTCATAGTTCACTCATTCTCTCGTTCACTTCTTGTCATGGAATCAGAGCAGGTTCCCCTGTGGGAATTGTGCTTCGGGCCCACCACCTAGAACTTTTTTTTTCTGCCCTGGCGCCCGCCCTAGCGCCCGCCCTAGCGCCCGCCCTTTCGAGCCGCCCGTTAGCGCCGCCCGTGCGGCCGCCCGTTAGCGCCGCCAGTGCGGCTGCCCGTTCGCGCCGCCCTTTGCGCAGCCAGTAGCGCCGCCCATGCGGCCGCCCGTTAGCGCCGCCCGTGCGGCCGCCCGTAGCGCCGCCCGTGAGCCGCCGCCCGTAGCGCCGCCCGTAAGCCGCCGCCCGTCGCGCCACCCTTTAGCACCGCCCATGCGCCGCCGCCCGTGAGCGCCGCCCGTGACGCCGCCGCCCGTGAGCGCCGCCCGTGACGCTGCCGCCCGTCCCGCCGCCCGCCCGTCACGCCGCCCGCCCGTGAGCCGGCGCTGCCCGCGAACCGCCCACCCGTGGGCCTTCAGCCCGCCCGTAAGCTGCCGACGCCGCCCGTGAGCAGCCGACGCCGCCGACGCCACCCGTAAGCCGCCGACGCCGCCGACGCCACCCGTGAGCCGCCGACGCCGCCGACGCCGCCCGTGAGCCGCCGACGCCGCTGCCGCTGCCGTCGCCCGTGAGCCGCCGACGCCGCCGTCGCCGCCCGTGAGCCGCCCTGGCCGCCCGCCCAGCCGCCCGTGAGCTCCCCGCGCGCCGTCCCAGCCGCCCATGAGCCGCCACCGAGCCGCCCCAGCCGCCCGTGCCGCCGCCCGAGCCGCCTGAGCCGCCCGAGCCGCCCGGGCCGCCCGCGCCGCCCTAGCCACCCGAGCCGCCCGAGCCGCCCGAGCCGCCCAAGCCGCCCGCGCCGCCCGAGCCGCCCGAGCCGCCCTAGCCGCCCGAGCTACCCGAGCCGCCAGAGGAGCTGCACTCCTGCTCCTGTCGGGCTACAGGTGCTCCTGGGCTGTGTACCTGCGCCGCTGACCTACCCGACTCTTCCTGCCCGGTGAGACTGTCAGCTGCTGTCATGGCCACCCCCAATGTCCTAGCTTTTGACGCTGAGGGTAGAGCCATTGACTTTGCAGTCTGGATTGAGGACCTGCAGCTGTACTTACTGTGTGATGCGGTCGATGAGGTCTCTCTCTTTGACTTTGTCTCTGGCGCTGTCCCTGCCCCTCCTCCTGATGCTGATTCCGCCGTTCGCTCCAAGTGGGCGACCCGCGATGCTGCTGCACGTCTTGCTGTGCGTCGCCACCTCCCTTCCTCCGAGCGTGCCCACTTTAGTCAGTGCAAGACCGCTCAGGCCTTGTACGACGCTGTAGTTGCACGCTACTCCTCCCCTTCCTCCGCTACGCTGAGCCGCCTCATGCTACCTTTTCTCTTCCCTAACCTCGCTGCCTTTCCCACTGTCGCTGACCTCATTACCCACCTCCGCGCTAGTGACGCTCGCTACCGCGCTGCCCTTCCTGCTGAGTTCCGCGCCGCCAACCCTCCTCCCATGTACATCACTCTCTACTTTCTTGTCACCCGTCTCCCTGAGTCCCTTCGTGTCGTTAGGGACCAATTTCTCTCTGTCTGTCCCACCAACCTCACTGTCGACCTCCTTGAGGAGTCCCTGCTAGCGGCTGAGAAGAGCATAGTCGCTGCAGGGGCCTCTCGGGGTGACCCTCGCACCCCCATCTTTGAGGGGTGTTCTCCTTCCCCCCTGCTGCCCTCTGTCGCCTCTGCCGCTGCGGCCGACCTCGCTGGTTTTGAGTCGGTCGGTGCGGCGTCTGCCCCCAGCGGTAGACGCCGCTCTGGCAAGGGCAAGGGGGGCAAGGGAGCGGGTGGAGCTAGAGGAGGCAGTGGCGGAGGAGGTGGGGGTGGCGGGGGGAGTGGGGGTGGCGGTGGAGGTGGTGGCGGGAGTGGAGGTACTGGTGGAGGCGGTGGAGGCGGAGGTGGCGGCGGAGGCGGTAGCGGAGGAGGCGGGGGCGAGGGTACTAGTGGGGGCGGTGGCGGTGGAGACGGGGGCGGTGGTGGAGGCGGGAGTGGCGGTGGCGGCAGGGGTCGGAGTGTCTCGTCCCAGCGCAGCAGCTCTGGGGATGGTCAGCGCCAGCAGCAGCAGCAGCAGCGCTCTCGCACCGTCCCCGCCCCTCAGCAGCTCCGTGAGTGGTACTTGCAGCGTCAGCGTGGTGGTGCGTTTGGTCCCTGCCCCTACGTTCTTCGCACCGGCGACCGTGCGGGGGAGAGGTGTGGAGGCACCAACACAGCCCGCCGCTGCTTTGGCCGCCTGACCGACGCCTGGCGTCAGCAGTTTCCGGAGGCCGCTGAGATCCCCCGCTTGGGGGAGCTGTCTAGGGCTGGTGTAGCCATTTATGATCTTGACTTTGATGCTATTCTTTCTGCTATGTATGTTGTGACTGGTAGTGATGAGGATGACTGTTACCGGTGTTTCCCGCCCGACCCGGGCATTGGTACTGCTGCGTCAGGTACTAGTGAGGCTGCTGCTCTAGGTGCCAGTGCGTCTGTGCTCTCAGGTACTGGTGAGTCTGCCCTCTCAGGTACTGTGTCGGCTTCGGCCTCTCACACCTTCACACTTGACTCTGGAGCGTCTCGCTCCTTCTTTCGGGACCGCACTACTCTCACGCCGCTGAGTCGGCCGGTTGCGGTGTCCCTGGCTGACCCCTCTGGGAGGCCTGTCCTGTCTCGCTTCTCCACGGTACTTCCGTGTCCGGCGGCCCCCTCTGGCACCCTGTCTGGTCTCTACCTCCCCTCGTTCTCGACGAACCTGGTGAGTGGTGCTGACCTACAGGATGCGGGTGTCCACCTGTTCACTCCTGCTCGTCAGCGGGTGACCCACTGCACGGAGGCTAGCACGGGACGCCACCTGGCTACGTTTACACGTCGGCCAGGGTCGAGCCTGTACACACTGACCACTACTTCTCCTCCAGGTACTGAGTCTGGTAGGGTCCCTTCGTCTGGTCAGATGTTTGCCGCGGCGTCCAGGTCTGGTCCTGAGTCTTCCCCCTTTTCGTGTCGTCGTCTGTCTCACGAGACCCTCCTCTAGCACCACCGCCTTGGCCACCCCTCTCTGCTTCGGCTCAGAGGCATGGCCTCCCGTCTTCTTGTGTCTGGTCTCCCCCGGTCTCTACCTCCCCTTCCTCAGGGCCCTGGCCCTGCCTGTGTCCCCTGTGTCGAGGGGCGCCAGCGTGCTGCCCCTCACTCCTCCCAGTTTCCTCCGACAGAGGCCCCGCTGCAGACGCTTCACATGGACGTGTGGGGCCCAGCCCGCGTCCTTGGACAGAGTCAGGAGCGCTACTTCCTGCTCGTTGTTGACAACTACTCGCGTTACACCACAGTCTTCCCCTTGCGCAGCAAGGGTGAGGTTACTGAGGTGCTGATTGACTGGATCCGCGCAGCTCGTCTTCAGCTCAGGCAGAGCTTTGGCTCCGACTTTCCTGTGTTGCGTCTGCACTCTGACAGAGGCGGAGAGTTCTCCTCTGGCCTTCTACGTGCCTACTGTCGGGCGCGAGGCATCCGCCAGTCCTTCACGCTTCCGGACTCCCCACAGCAAAATGGGATTGCTGAGCGCCGCATTGGCATGGTCATGGACGTCGCCCGTACGTCCATGATGCATGCGGCTGCCCCCCATTTTCTGTGGCCGTTTGCGGTCAGGTACGCAGCGCATCAGATCAACCTCCACCCCAGGGTCTCCAGGCCGGAGACCTCCCCAGCCCTGCTGTGGACGGGGAAGGTTGGCGATGCGTCGGCGTTCCGGGTCTGGGGATCTCGGGCGTTTGTCCGCGACTTGTCTGCGGACAAGCTGTCCCCTCGCGCTACTCCCTGCGTCTTCCTAGGGTTCCCCCCCGACGCCCCTGGGTGGCAATTCTACCACCCCTCCTCTTGACGTGTTCTGTCCTCCCAGGACGTCACGTTCGACGAGTCGGTACCCTACTACCGCCTCTTCCCCTACCGCACTCCGTCCCTCCCCCCACCCCCGCTCATCTTGGTACCAGGTCCCCCCCCGGTAGACCCCCTCCCCCCTCAGGGTCCTGCCCCTTCAGGTGTGTCCCAGGTAGACGCGGTCGAGCCTGTCGAGGCCACTGGTGACTCTGGTGCTGCTGCGGGAGCTGAGTCTGGGGGTGCGGAGTCTGGGGGTGCTGAGCCTGGGGGTGCGGAGTCTGGGGGTGCTGAGCCTGGGGGTGCGGAGTCTGGGGGTCCTGAGTCTGGGGGTGCTGAGCCTGGGGGTGCTGAGCCTGGGGGTGCTGAGCCTGGAGGTGCCGAGCCTGGGGGTGCTGTGCCTGGGAGTGCTGTGCCTAGGGGTGCTGAGCTTGGGGGTGCTTCGTCTCGCCGGGAGCCACTCTCCCCACAGGAGCTGCGTGAGTGGTTTGCCA